ATAAAAGGTAGAATCGCTTTGTGGGAAGTTAGACCCACAAATAAGACTTCTGTGATGGTTAACACTGAGTGTCAACTTGATCGTATTGAAGGATGCTAAGTATTGGTCCTGGGTGTGTCTGTGAGGGTGTTGCCAAAGGAGATGAACATTTGAGTCAGTGGGCTGGGAAGGCAGACCCTTCATCTGGTGGGCTCCAACTAATCAGCTGCCAGCACAGCTAGAATATAAAATAAAGCAGGCAGAAAACATGAAAAAACTAGACTGGCCTAGCCTCCCAGCCTACATCTTTCTCCTGTGCTGGACCCTTCCTGCCCTTGAATATCAGACTCCAATTCTTCAGTTTTAGGACTCAAACTGGCTCTCCTTTCTCCTCAGCCTGCAGACAGGCTATTGTGGGACCTCGTGATTTTTTTAATACATACATATGTATATATAATGTTATATATATATGTAATATATAATATGTAATATATATAATATTATACAATCGGATATATAAGTATATACATATATATATTATATAATATATATAATATTATATATATATTATTAGTTCTGTCCCCCTAGGGAACGCTGACTAATAAACTTCCAAGGAGGGAGATCACTTCTGAGCAAATTATGAGGAATGGTAGCAAGAAGAAGGTGGCTTCTGAGCAGAGCCTTGTGAGAGATCAAATTTCACATACTATGGGGAGCAAGTATTCCTCCATAAACAGATAGCATAGGGAAGGGGCTAGTTTAAAAACCAGATGAGGGAATTATCTTCAGCATAAATTGCTCCCTCACCAAAAGGACAAAGTGTCCGACTCACCATCCTAGTGACTTGACTGGATGTTCTCCTTTCATTCCACAATCCACCCTCATTCCTCTCCACGGTGTTCTATGGCCCCAGAGGCTGGCCTTATGGACTGTATCAACTAGGCCACCTTGTTCCTGGTGTGAGTTGGGTTCAGCTAAGATGCACGGGCAGGAGATGACAGAGTGAGAGGAAGGAGAGTTGGAGGTATGATTCCTCCAAACTCCTCCTTGCCACACTGCGGGTGGGCAGAAGCCATGTTCCTCTAGCAAAAGCCATGGCTTTCCCTCATCAGCCCTTCCCTAAACTAGTGACATGGGAGTTGGGCAGGGAAGCGCTGGGTAGAGAAGGGCCAGATCCCTGGTGAAGGCTTCACCCTCAAGCCTATGCTGCGGACCTAAGTGAGAACAGGCACTCCTGTTTTCATGTCCAAATGTTGCATTTTCCAAGACTGCTCTGGCCCACCAGGCCCCCCATCCTGCACCCATATAAACCCAAGACCTTAGTGGGTACACACACAAGCAGCTGAAGGTCAAGACCAGCAGACCAGCGACAGCAGAATGATGCAGCAGAGAAAAAAAAAGAAGGACATCAGGAAGCTGAGGGAAGGTCGGCCAGGGGTGGTTGGAGAAGGGTTGGCTGCTGGGCAGCCCAATTCCAGGGAAGATTATTTTCCCCACCCCTCCACCTGCTGACTCCCCATCCATCTCGCTGAGCACCACCTCCACCACTCAGTAAAACCTTGCACTCATCTTTCGAGCCCACATGTGATCCAAGTCTCCTGGGACACTGGGCCAGAGCTCAGGATACAGAGGCTGTCACACTGGCCCTCTGCTCTTGCAATAAGGCAGAGGGTCCATTGACTAGCTGATTAGCTGACTAGCACACAAGCTATCTGCAGATGGCAAATCTGAAAGAGCTTGTTTACATGTGCCCACCTGGGCTTTAGGAGTTGCAAACACCCACCCCTGGATACTGCCACCAGGCCGAGAGCCCAAAGCTTTTATCCAGGCCTTTGCACCAGCCAGTTTGCATGCTCTCCCTAAAGATTTGAGCTGCAGGGCAACCAAGCAGGTGAGCCACACCCATTTGCATGTCCTGCCAGGAGAATCTGGGAACTCTCCTGCTTCACTAGCTTTCCATGCCTGTTCCCTCTGTGTCCACCACGTTGGGATAGCAGCCTTGCAGCACTGCCAGCCCTGGGGGCTCCATCATGATGCCTGGTTTCCTTGCACGATCAATGCCTCTATAGAAAAGGCCATTGATTAAATTATCCCCAGTCAGCCCTTCTGAATATTCTACCTGCTTCCTGCCTGGACCATGACTGACAAAGACCTTTGTAGTCAACTGAAGTTAGCCAGTGATTTTTTAAAAAATTTCCTTAGGGGCCGGGCGCGGTGGCTCAAGCCTGTAATCCCAGCACTTTGGGAGGCCGAGGCAGGTGGATCACGAGGTCAAGAGATCGAGACCATCCTGGTCAACATGGTGAAACCCCGTCTCTACTAAAAATACAAAAAATTAGCTGGGCATGGTAACGCGTGCCTGTAATCCCAGCGACTCAGGAGGCTGAGGCAGGAGAATTGCCTGAACCCAGGAGGCGGAGATTGCGGTGAGCCGAGATCGCGCCATTGCACTCCAACCTGGGCAAAAAAAGCAAAACTCCGTCAAAAAAAAAAAAAAAAAATTTCCATTGCTGTTTTCTTCTTTATTGGTTCTAAGTATCTTATTTCCTCATCTTCTAAGCATGGTATTAATAATAAACTTCCCATCAGATCTATAAGTTTTAACTCTTTCATCTCTACCTTGAAGAGCTAGATGTTTCTTTCATAACGCTGGAACTATACAAATGACAAAAGAAAGAGCAGATAAATTGGACTTTATCAAAATTAAAATCTTGGGGCCGGGCGCGGTGGCTCAAGCCTGTAATCCCAGCACTGTGGGAGGCCGAGGCGGGTGGATCACAAGGTCAAGAGATCGAGACCATCCTGGTCAACATGGTGAAACCCCGTCTCTACTAAAAATACAAAAAATTAGCTGGGCATGGTAACGCGTGCCTGTAATCCCAGCGACTCAGGAGGCTGAGGCAGGAGAATTGCCTGAACCCGGGAGGCGGAGGTTGCGGTGAGCCAAGATCGCGCCATTGCACTCCAGCCTGGGTAACAAGAGCGAAACTCCGTCTCAAAAAAAATTAAAATCTTTTGTGCTACAAAATGTATCAGCAAGAAAGTGAAAAGCAACCTGCAGAATGGGAGAAAATACTTGCAAATCATATCTGCTAAGGGACTTATATGCAAAATATAGAATTCTTACAACTCAATAATAATCCAGCGTTTTTAATGGGCAAAGGAAATGAGTAGATATGTCTCCAGAAACGATTACAAATGGTCCCTGTGTACATGAAGAGATATGCAACATCATTAGCTAGTTGAGATATGCAAATCAAAGACAGAATTAAAACCACTTCATCCCCAGTAGGATGGCTATAACTAAAAAGGCAAGTAATAACAAGTGTTGGCTGGTGAGGATGCGGAGAAATTGACACCCTCATGCATTGCCAGTGGGAGTACAGGATGGTGCCAGCCACTTTGACGCTTCCTCAAAATATTAAACATAGAGTTACTAGATCTCTTCTCTTTTATTTTTAGTTGGCACATAATATTTATGTACACAGAATGATATTTCCATACATGTATACAATGTATAGTGATCAAATCAGGGTAATCAGCATACCATCACCTAAAATTTTTATCGTTTCTTTGTGTCATTAACATTCAAAATACTCTCTTCTAGTTTTTTGAGAATACACTATAAATTACGGTTAACCATCTTCACCCTACTATGCTGCAAAATCCCAGAACTCATTTCTCCTATCTAGCTGTCATTTTGTATGCATTTACCAGCTCTCCCCATAGCCTCCTCCTCACCATTCTTCCCAGACCCTGAGACCCACTCTTCTACTCTCTATTTCTATACACTCAAATTTTCTTTTTAGCTTCCACATATCAGGAAAACATGTGATACTTATCTTTCTGTGCCTGACTGATTTCACTTAACATAATGACCCAGCAATTCCACTTCTAGGTACATACTCAAGAGAGTGAATATATATGTCCGCACAAAAACTCTGTACACAAATATATTCATAGCAGCATTATTCATAATACTTAAAAAAACAGAAACAACCCAAATGTCCACCAAATGATGAATCACTAATTTGTGGGCTGCCCATATCATGGACTATTACTACGCAGTTGAAAGGAATGAGGTACTGATTCATGCTACAACATGGTCGGACTTTGAAAACGTCATGCTAAGTGAAAGAATTCAGTCACAAAATACTACACGTATGATTCTATTTATATGAATGTCCAGACTGGCAAATCCATAGAAGTAGAACGTAGATTAGTGGTTGCCTACGGAGACTTGGAGAATAATGGGGAGTGGCCGCTAATGGGTACAGGGTTCCTATGGGGGATGATGAGAAAGTTCTAGAATTGACTGTGGTGATGGTTTCACAATTCCTTAAATATACTGAAAACCACTGTAAACTTTGAATTAGTGCACTATATGTGAGTGAAAGCTCAATAAAGATAATAAAAATTAAAATAATGTGTTTTAAAATTTTGGAACCAACTAATTCTAAAAGCAAATGTTGCCAAAATTTCCGAAATATGTTTGTCTATAATCTTTAGGCCATTTCATGTGTCTGACAGCTACTTAGTAGCCTCAAAATAAATGTGAGAACAAATTAGTAGCTTATCAATCACCATCTTTCCACCTTTTAACCCACATTTGTTTGCTTTTTCTTTTTTTTTTTTTTTTTTTTCTTCTAAATGTTTAGATAGCTGCTGTGCTCTTTGTTTTATTACCACTTATACTTGGGGAGCTCTGCCCAGGTATTATTTTTTTTGAGAGGGAGTTTCACTCTTGTTGCCCAGGCTGGAGTGCAATGGTTACACATGACCACCTGGGCTTTGGGAATTGTGAGCTCACCTCACCACAACCTCCGCCTCCTGGGTTCAATCAAGTCTCATGCTTCAGCCTCCCGAGTAGCTGGGATTGCAGGGGCCCACCACTCCCTGCTAATTTTGTATTTTTAGTAAAGACAGGGGGGTTCTCCATGTTAGTCAGGCTGGTCTCAAACTCCCAACCTCAGGTGATCCACCTGGCTCTGCCTCCCAAAGTGCTGGGATTACAGGCATGAGCCAAAAACATGAGGAGGGGAATGGAATTTATTGCTCCTCTATCAGCTCCCACCAAATCTGGAGCCCATGGCATTTTCTTTCTCAAGGTCCCACGATGCCCAGAGAACAGTTAGAATCAGGCCAGGCACCGGGATGGGCTTGTCCTCAGATCCAGTCGGCTCCTTGTCTTCCAATTACCTAGCTCTGCTAACTCTCTCTTACAAGCCTGGGAGGAGAGTGACTAGTTCCCACCTAAACATAAGGCCTGAAGGGTCTTAGCACCTACAAGTTTAAGGAAACCCAAAGGATGCTCTGAAACTTCCATGAAAAGGAAGACTTGGAGGGACTGTTGCATTCTTGCATGGCTGGCTATTCATATTCTCTGAATATCCAACATGAAACTGATCTGATCACATGCTTTTTGGCAAAAGTGGTTTATGTTAGGCTAAAAGAAAACACCCCTTACCAAGATGCTCTGAAAGCGGCTTCTCCATTATATTAATGACAACTAGTGTTATTAAGAGAACATAAGGCAACTTTAACAAACGAAGAGCTCACTAAAGAGGATCCTGTATGGAAATTGTTCATGCAAATGCAATTTTAGAGTTGGCATTATACTTGCAGAGGGGTTCTCTACAGGAAGCTATGGCTTCAGTCTTTCGTGCTCCAGGACAACCACTCAGCACGTAAAGCTCCATGAAATCAGTGCCTCAAACCACAGTATCTCTAAAGAAACTCCTAACTTAAAAAGTATTCCATCAATGGTAAGGATTTTTAAACTTTAGCTTAAATATTTTAAATACCGTTAGTAGTAATAAAGCAATGAGATGTCTCTAAAATTATTGTTGCCTGTATCACTTTAAATCTTTGACATAAATGAAAACTTGCATGGAAAATGCTAAAGTTCTAAGCAAATCAAACAGGTTGAGCATTAATAAACAGGAAGATGAAGTACGTGAAATTGATTTTGGGAGGAACTGGTAGAGATAGTGATTTGTTTAAATACTGTTTAATTTTTTTATCCATTTATTTATTTGGAGACCGGGTTATGCGACTGACTAATGTTTGTATTTTCGGTAGAGAAGGGGTTTCGCCATGTTGCCCAGACTGGTCTCAAACTCCTGGGCTCAAGCAATCCAGCCATGTTGGCCTCCCAAAGTGCCAGAATTACAGGCATGAGCCACCAGGCCAGGCTGAGATCGTGTTTTAAACTGTGCTATTGATGGTCTAGGGAAAAGGTAAATCAACCTGCGATAACAGAAGTCCTTGTAATCCACAAGTAGGTATGCAGGCAAGAAGTAAGAAAGCTCCAGAATTCTGTGGAGGCCACAAGGATTTCCAGAACTGGCAGCAGTTAAGAATTTGACAGAATTGAAGAGTCACACCTCTGAATTTGTGTCAATTCTGAAATCTCTTCTTCCAAGAAGAAAGAGAAATAGCTGGAGTTATGGAAACGACGGTTGATGAAAACTCAGTAATCTGAAGTCTGAACGTTTAACACTAGCAGACAGGCTGAGAATTCTCTTTGATCATGAGCCCAGGTTCCATGTGCACCCACAGGAATCTGTACAGCATTTGTGCACTGGTGTGGGGCCCAGAAGAGGACCACAGAGTGACAAGGCACCAGGCTCTAAAGGGAGAGGAAGATCCCCAGGGGACCTGGATAGCGATATTTCCCTGACCATTGTCTGCTGTGTGTTCCCAGTGATGAGATTCTAGAGTTTACACCTGAACCACACTGTCATTTAGGATGTTATTTATAAAATCTGGCATGTCTAAGTAAAACACGCATTCAGTGAAACATGCCGTGCAACTTATCTCATTGTGTGGATTTCATTCTTCTCAGTTAATTATTTTATGGTTTTTTTCCTTTTTTTTTTTTTTAGACCAAGTTTCACTCTTGTTACCCAGGCTGGAGTGCAATGGTGCAATCTCTGCTCTCTGCAACCTCCGCCTCCTGGG